TATTTTGGGGGAGGGGGGGGGGGGGGGGGGGGGGGTTGTACAGAATGATCCAGTCATTGATTATCAAAACATACTGTAGTTAATATATTATATCAGGACGTGATTACCTATTCTCTACTCTATCTTTTCTATAATTAATAGAGTGGCACCGATTAGACCTATACGCATAATTCAAATGCAATGAGATAGAGATGTTATTGTTAATGTTGGAATTACCGGTACATCACTAAGACTTAAAACAAGATGATCGCTAAGACGTTGGGACTGTGTCATCTCTAAATAGACTACAAAATAATGTATGACAGCTTCTCAAAACATCATCATTCTTATCCTCATTATGAATTCTACATAAAGTGTAAGCCTTAAATATATTTTTTTTCACAGCCTTATTATGATTGAATGTGTGAAATTTGAGTACGGTACCGGTATTTAAAATCAATATGTTTACGTACAGTATGATAACAGCAATGACGTTTTTACATACATACATAAATATATGATACCGGTAGGTCGTTTGTGGGGAAGGAGAGATGCGGTTGATCTTTTGGTTTTCAGAGTAGTGTATTGTCGTCACATTTGATTCAAATTTTATAAGGAAAAGGAGATTTCACTAGGCCTACGTTTAGCATATTAATAGGCCTATACACCTTACTGCATTGGAATAATAGGCCGTCGTGGCCATAGGCCTATGTCAAGTGACACTTGAAATCCTATTCGAACAATAAGCGGAGGTTTACCTGTATCAACAGCATTGCATACAAACACAAGAAAGATCACGACAATTCTTAACCACGTCGAAATCATTATGACGTCGACATATCCAAATGTCCTAAGATAATCAAGCTATCTGCAATGTTTTCTACAACCAAACATTATAAAAACCAATTCTATATAGTATAATTCCGCTGCATGACAGGATGAATTATATTTTATACTATAGGCGGTAGGTACATTCTTCTACGCAGATCATGGCAGTTCTGACTGTACCATATTCCAATTGTTTGGTCGCTCTTCGATTTGCTATGCTTCAGTTGTGTCGCTAAATGGGTACTAAACATAATAGATTGCCATAATACAATAATTATAGAGTATTGCACTCAATGAGCGGAAGTGCTGCTTTTTGTAAGATATATTTCGCATGCGCAGCTTCAGGTTGTCAACATGATGTTGATCAAATAATGCTGAGCATCACATTCACATAACGTAGGCCTAATAAATATTGGCGTGGACATTTGAGCATCGTTTCGTCATTATTGTCATTGAGATTTGTTTCCATGGCAACCTTTATATACCTATTCTCAGATCACAATATTATCTGAAATACAACATGCTCACATGGAAAATTCCTCCAAAACCAGTTGTTATCATGCAAAATATTCCAATGTGACCTCATGCCTCACGCATCCCCCCACCCAACACCACCACCGCATCATCCTACGCAAAACTCCTTCTGCAATATCATTCTCTCTGCCTATTCTTTTCGTGTTGACACGCTGATAAAATATATAATACTATAGGTTTTTTTTCTACTTATTGGCGGCACTTCTCTTTCCCTCCCACAAACTGCAGCAAATTAGGGCTAGTATTAGTAATATAAACAACCAAGCTTATATTGGATTTACTTCCACATTCTCAATTTTCGCACCCCACTCTTCCGGTCCCAGGGCGAAACCATACGGACGACGAACGTGCAATATGAATAGGCCTACCATTTGCTTGTATTGGCTGAATCTTTATTCAGATTGGACAGCTTCCTGAAATAGCTGAGTTCATCTTAGTAATTTTGGACGTGATTGGATTTTGTTCCCCTTAAATTTTCATTTGTAGTTTGATGTACAGCCTTTTTTATATTATTAATGAAATTGTATATAATTTTTTCATGATTATTCCAATTTTGTGCTATTTTTTTTCTAAATCTTTTTGATATTTATTGTTTTCCTCTCATGCATGCATGTGTGGTTGTTTTTTTTTAAATGTTTTTTCCTTGTTTTTCTGATGAATTGTCTTGTTTTTGAATTCCCCTCTGTGCTTTGATGTTTTTCTTTTTCTTGATTGTCGTCTTTGTCTTGCCTTTTATGTTTTCTTGGTTTCCCTTCTGCATGTTGTCCTGTTTTACTATTTTTAGATAAGCTTATTCAATTTTATATGTTCAACTTCAATTTCTGTTCATTTGAAATTGAAAGTTTATTTTGTATTTTGAACCTCGCGGCAGAATCCTATTCGCCTACTATAATGTTATATAGGCCCTACTGATGCTATTGAAAATATACATATGTTTGTTGCTTGTTTACAGGCCTGTATAGGTGATTAAGTTTTATAAATTTTGAAATTAAACAATAAATAACTCAATTAAGTAATTAATAAATTATTGTTCTCTTAGTACAAGACCAAAGTATCCTAGGTGTAATAAATTGACTCAGATAATAGGCTTATCTTTAAAAAAAATGAAATCATTCCTTTTACAGCATTATAATACAAACAAATAACATCAATACATTTAAAATGATACCTAAAAAATGAAAAATAATACAGAAAAAAAGTATTGGCAGCGGTGGGATTCGAACCCACGCCATCGAAATGACTGGTGCCTAAAACCAGCGCCTTAGACCGCTCGGCCACGCTACCTTGATATCTGCAAAGTTGTCGTACTTTACCCCAATCCTGCTAATATATTTCGTAAGTAACTTGATCACAATTTAAGGGTAATTTTAATAATCGGTGGTTACAAAAAATCCCCAGAATAATATTAAACATATCTTCTGATTTTCTAACATTTTTTTGACAGATTTTTGTTGGTTCGAGCGACGGAAACTGGTGAGCAAATCGGAAGGATCGGCCAAGCCTATCCTCCTACGCTAGATTCTGATGTCATCCTGCCCGCGAGGTGGCCTTGTGTGAGTGTGAGCGGTGTATTTAAAAGTCGACGAGCAAGTTGAACAAGGGCTAGGGCCTAGCTACATGTTACTTGTAGACACATTTCCTATGAATATAGGCACACGCTTTGTATATTTGCTTATTGAACCATGACAAAACATAACGGAGAATAATCATCTCTGAAAATTGTCCAAATTTCATAATTAATTTGTCTACAGGGACACTGACAGGGTCCTATGCTAGATAGGTAGTAGTAGTAGTAGTAATACTATTACAGTATTACTATCTATATTATTACTATTATTATGTTACTATTATTATTAATACTTGCCTAGAGAAGATTTACCATGATCTTGAAGCTAAAGCATTAATGCTTTATCACCCCTCTGTGTAAGTCTCTTACAAACAAGATTGTGTTTTCTAAGAAAATAAGAAGCTCGTAGACAACACCATTCTTTCTTGTTTTGTAAAGCAATAAACAGAGCGTTTTAACTTACTGCCTAATCTACAGTACATATAAATGCCTAACAAAACAAAATATGAATAAATTAGACTCAATCTGAAAGACTGCAAAGAAAATACCTGTAGTTAAAAGAAGAGATATTTAGATGATGACAAATATGCATTACCTGAACTTAAGAAAATAGAAGGACAACTCATCCACTACATAATGATTTTACTCTTGTTTCTGGCTGAATGTGCCACTCGCCACAAGTTACCGATATAGACTCCTTTGAACACAACTCCATTCACCATAATAATAATAATGTTAAGTTCATAGATAAGTTTAAGGGCAATTTTGGCCTAATTTAATTATATTTAATGTGTAATATTGTATAATAATGTTTAATACTATTCTTTGTATGTAGCCTAGCTACACTTTATCTTATGAATAGATATTGTTTGGTGCTCATAGTTTTATATTTTTATATCCTTAGTTATCTTTTATTTATTATATGTTATTAAAACGTGTTACACTGCCATTGGAATGTAATTTTTTTTTCTTTAGACAATAAAATTACTGTATCTTGAATCTTGATTTAAATTGGTTAATTGTCTGAAAAATCACCAGCTTCATTCGATAAACAATTCCAGTCATTAAATCACTCATGCGCACAAAATTTATGTTCTCCCCACCTGTGGCATATCTAGGAGTCTTGAAATGGGGGGGGGGCTGATGGGGAGCGCAAAGGTCACATGGGGGAGTGATGATTAGGTGAGGGGCGCCAGTCTGCAGCAATATTTAACTACTTGAGCATGATCTTTTGCGGTGGCATGCATTTTGCGTGCACCCCTAGATATGCCACTGCTCCCTACTTGGTTTTGACTCATGGTTTCTTTAATTTAAATTAATGCCCCCTAGTGAATGCAAATGATGACAATTCAAAAACTTTCTACTTGAAAAGCATGTGACGAAAAACTTGGCAACCAACAATTAATGAGATACAAATTTTTGAATATTTAAAAACTGGGGAAAATGTGGAACTTGGACCGCATTTCCGAAGCACTGAACGCCAGCATCCCTTTTCTTATACACTGATATGATTTGATTTTCTGATTGCTTCAGGCAGGCTTTCCGATCCAAAAATTTGGATTCTCTTTGAATGCACCTTAACACGAGCCACACTATCATGAAATTGGTCAGCAGGGGGTCTTAAACAAATGGGCCAGCTACATCTTCGGCATATCTAGGAGTCTTGAAATGAGGGAGGGGGATCGATAGTTAGGTAGGGAGGGGAATAGCTTGCAAAATAAGGTAATTTGAGGTTAAACTACGTACTGTACTTGAATTTTCTCCTGATCTCCAGCTGTGATTTGTCTAGGGAGTACAATATTGTACAGTACTGTATATGGGCAGGATGATGTCACAAGTATTTGTCGCATAAATCTTGATATTGTTAGTGTGAACAGAGTTATATCATTTGACACAAACAAGTTCAAATTTACAAATTTACAGAATTTTAATGAGCATTTAATTCCATTTACAGAAGTTTTAAAATCTTCATTACTGTACTTAACCTTTAACACTCATCACATTTTTAGTATTTAAATATGCAAATACAGAAGCAGACAATCTTATATAGTCAGCTCTTAATAAAGCTTTAAATAATCCATGTGTGTTTAATAGCAACAGTATGTGGATATATTAACATCATTGTTGTATACTTTCTAATTTCCTGCATTAGATATAGAGTGTATGTGGTGTGAGTGACTCATTGGCATTACTAACCCTTCATAAACATTCCTACTGTATATATTTCCTATTTTTAAATTGCTTCTTGACATGTGTTTATTGATATAATGATAAATTAAAAATGATTAATCAGAATGATCTATAATTTCAAGCAATTTGAATTAATATATTTAATACATGAAATGTATTATTTTTGGCTCACCTTACTCAAAACAAACATCCACACGCACCTACAACACACACATATGCTTATAAAACCAAGCTCTATTCAATGTACAGCTGTTCAAAAATAAGATGCTAGTACAGTACAGGTATAGTAAGTATAGTATATCAAAAAATTAAAACAAAAATACTAGACTAGGAAAATCGTTCAGCATTGGTAAAATCTGGGGTAAAACATTCCTTGATAACTAAAATGAACAGTAAATAAGGACAATGTATCAAACTTTGAAGAAATACTAATTTGTTTTGACGATTTTAATAAGACAGGTGGGGTGCTGAAAAATGGTATTGAACAGAAGTCTTGACTGGTGGATTATAAGTGGTGAAATCAGGAATTATAAATAGAGGGGTCCAGGACCTTTAACAACCTCACCATGGTACACAATTTTACGGCTATGTCGTCATCTCTAGATGGCTGAAAATGGCACTATCAAACAAAAACAGCCTCCTACAAACAGATTCCTACAAATAGATCGTGGAAAAACAATGTTTTATAGACTCGTGTATTGTAGCGTTACGATTGTCATTCATAGACGTTCAATATTGCAATCTACCCCAGCTACACAGATTATTGAGACCATAAATTATGAATTCTATAGTTACTGGAATTACCAAAATGCTACTCGGCTGTCCCTAGTCTGCTAAATACATTTGAAGAACCACCAGAATTTGACACTGTCCTTGTAATATTTAAGCTGGATTTTTTCTTCATATTTAATTTTGCTGATTGTAAGCTTGCCTTTTTCTTGTTGACCATGATGGTAATTGATGGAGTAGTTGAGCTTGCCTCAGCTTTCTGAAGTCCGAGTCTTTCTTTGATGCTTGGGCTAGCAGCAGAAGTTCCTTGTGCTCCCAGGCGTGCAAACATCCCTACAGACTGGCCTAGGCTGTCTTTCTCTTTCGGGATTCGAACGGTCACTGTTTGTTTCAATTGTGTTCCAAGCCTCTTGACCACTCCTCCACCTTTTTTGATACCTAAACTTTCTTTATTACCAAGCCTACCCTTTACACCAGACTTATCTGTACTGATGATGGTCTTTTTGAGAACTGTATTAGTTTTTCTGATTTGAGCTCTTGCTGGTACGGAAATTTGACTTGTGCTGGATACCTCTGGTTTCTGTTGCCCTAACCGATCCTTAATGCTCATTTTCAAGTTGACTTGATCCATCTTTGAAGTGCTAGAGGTGGATGAGACTGGTGCTTGGATCTTCTTGGGGGTAACCTTGGCACCTAGACGTTGGGAGACACTGGATGTTGTAGGAGACAGTACTGCCACTTTAGTCCTCTTTCCAATACTGGCTGTGATCTTCCCGGTGCTGTTTGGTGGCGTTCTCAAAACGCCCCCATACTCACAAATAGAACTAGAATCAGAAGTATCAGACAATGATCGAACCCTTTTCTTTCCACCCAGTCTTGAGAAAACAGAATCTGGACTTCCCTGAAAAAGTAAGTGATATGGTTACAAACACACTGAGGTAGCAGCATTGGCCACAAATTAATTAATGCATGAAACAGATCAGGGTAATATTTTCAAATAGCTAATTGAAATGTGATTTACATCATCATCAGTACTAATGTTATCATTAACACTCTGCCCGCCAAAAACGGAGATCTCCGTGTTTGGTAACGCAACGCTTGACCGCCAAACACGGAAATCTCCTTGTTTTAGGTTTTTTTTACGGAATCCGATAGATATGGTTGACAATTTGATCACTATATTCAGCCTGTATTAGTATTTCACTATTTGGTTTGTTTACATTAGCGTAGAGCGGTATTGATCTTTCACGAATCTCAGCTTTGTTGTGCGAAAAAAAAAAGTGAGTTTTTCATTTTAATGTTACAGTTCACAGACTGTGATTAGAATAAAGTGTTTGGTACCTTTGTAAAGCTAAAATGTTTATAGTTCTTGTAGTATTCACTATATGTCAATCTGATCACATACACACTCTCAACGAGCTTTGGAAAAGTGTTAAAATTTGCTAAAAATTTTGGTGGTGGCTGATAATATTTGTTCAAAACGCTGGCGGTCACAGTGTTAATGATGCCTTGAAATAAAAGAGAAATAGGAAATGACAAAACCACATAATTTGGCAAGAAGCTCCAACTGCATAAAACATTTTATTTATAATTTTAACAAATACTCAATCTAATCAGATAATTTCATACTGTATCTATTTTATAATGTTTTCCAAGATACATCACAACTTTCAAGTTTCCAGCAAGGTAGAGTAGAACTTTTAAGATGGATACATAATATAAACTCACTATTTTTTTTAAGGCTGTTGAGTCATCTTTGCTTCCACCCCCTAGTCTGTCGAACACTGTCTTCCTACCTTGGCCATCAGCGGCAGCTAAAAATACAGTAAAGATAAAACTTAATAAAGATTGAGAGCATATGATTACTGAAGTGAAGTTAATGCTGTCTGTCCTGTGTCCATTCACTCCTACACAAATCTAGACTCGAGTCTGAAAAGAGCACTGATGATCTCATGGACAGTACACCGACTATATCCCAAGCAGTCTTACATGTGTTCTATATGTCTTGTAAAAGCAATTTATATTTTATGAACTGTGAATAACGTGAAAAATATTTCTGCACCTTTGATTCGTTGCTCCTCCAGGATTTTCTTTGTTCTTGGAGTGCTCCCCTCCGGCATATTTATGATGTACTTGCCTTCCTGTTCCGGTGTTACTCGCCTGACTTTCTTGACGGGGACCACCTCAACTGATTGAGGCATTGTTACAGAATTCTTCTTAGCACCTAAAGGGGTAACATTGTACATGGTGAGAAGAGGTCGTAAATCTGGGCACATTGAGCAAGTGAAAGTGGGTTTACTGAATTGCACGCACAAATAGGAGTACTCGCAAATTACCGGAGGAAGCTACATTGTGGATTATAGCAGCAGCAGGGCCAAGTGACAGGGTCCAGGTTGGGTTTAGGAGTAAAGCGCCCAGAAAGTATATAGATACAATTGTCTTGGCAGTTATTCATTCACATCGTGGGCCTGCCATGCTTGGGCAAAAACAAAAATGAGTGTCATGCTTTTGAAAAATTAGGAAACATCAAGTAGTCACCCTAAATGGTCATCATTTGCTCTTTCTTATTTTTCTTTAGTTAACTGCACTCACCTACTGCTGGTACTGCCCCAAGCCTTGCCGCCATTCCTGCAGACACCTTCACCTTAGTATCGGGTCCGTCCATTACACCCTGTTTGCGCATGTAGTGTTCAAGCATTCGACTGCCAGCTAATTTATGACAAAAACATTTTAAAAAATTAAAATTCGGTAGTACACCTTAACAATTGGTATGTTTAAAAGAATGCACTTTAACTACTATCTGACCATCACAATGTAAATTTATAATAAAGATAAAAATAACTTGAGATTTTTTTTATTCAAAATTAATTAATACCAGTATTTATAAATGGATACCATAGTGACGGCGCAAGTCAAGATTTGACTAGCTAATTCCCAAAAATACTGTAAAACATCGAATTGAAGCCCTGGACTTCTATTTTTTTCCGAAATTTGGATGGGCTTCTTTTTGAGATGGGCTTATTTTCAAGGCTACTTTGCAAAAATGAATGCTGTAAATTTTGGAAATTAGTTCTATAAAACATTAAATAGGGCCACTGAAACATCAATCTGTATCATGGAGTGCATTAACCAGCATTAAACCATCTAAACTACTGTAGGCCAATAAACCAAGCATGTTTTTAAAATTTATTTTGTCACTTTGAAATTCATGCACAATGTATGTATGGTAGTAGTACTGTCTCGAAAAGAAGCCTATGCTATCTTGAAAAGAAGCCCTTGGTGGGGGGGCATCAATTCGACATGGTCTTCTTCTCGCGATTAAGCCTAGTGGGCTTTAATTTGAAGTTTTACAGTAAGGTCTTTTAGGTATTTTTATGTCTATTATAAATTATCATTCATAGAAAATATCCACTTAATTGGAAACATAATTCTAGATGTAGATCATCTGCTTTCAATGATATTCTTGACAGAATAGCTATCAGACAGAGCTATCCAACATTGCTTGCAAATGGTCTTGGTGAAAAGCTTAGCACAGTTTTGTAATGAACAATTGAACGAATGACGATTCCCTCAAGACTTACCAGTTGTTTGCCGTTTAACTTCTACTTTACCATCAGCCGCCACTTGCATTGCCGATATGGCTGGCTTCTCACGTTCATACTAATAAAACAGAAAGAATTATGCATTTATAATCTAAACATTAAATTCATTTCTATATTCTTACATTATATACTTACAATACAGAAGAACCCCTATTCAATAATGGGACAACTTCAGGACCAAGAAAAGTTTCCCCTTATAATATATTTACATTTATTAAAACCATATCATTCATATTTAAAGATCTCCACAACTAACCCTGTTATTAGGTGGAGAAAATATCCCTGATATTTTACTGCATATACAGTAGAACTGTCAGGTGAACTTCAGGAAAATGGGACGGAGGAGCTAAAGGCTGAGCTCACCCAGGAGGCAGGCCAAAACACTCTCCATCAACCACAAAATGTCATACTAAAAAAGTGACAAATTCTATTTCAATCTTTGGGTAACCATACAATCTATTATGTTCCAAAGTAGCTTAGATATTGTTTTGTTGATGCATTCTCTCCCTGATCCGGCTGGCCTCTTTTAAATCACACACCAAACCATTAACAGTTACAAAAAAATAATGTGTTATATTCTGTACCTGTGCATGGTAGGTTTTACAGTACTTAAGGATGGCTATGATATCTCCCATAACATTTATGCCCATTTCCTTTAGGTATTCCTTTGTTATATCAAGAAGCATTGTCTTCTGTATACGATTGTCTATAAACGTGACTGCGTACGTGGTTGCTGCACCAGCGGGTACTCCAGCACTTGTGAAGAATTTAATCCATTCTGACATTTCTGTAAGAATAAAAGTTAAAGTTAAAAGTTTAAGTTACATTAAAGATTTCATATGGCAGTAGAAAGCTGAATTGCATCAATCAAGATTCCATGGGGAATAATAGTATAAATTTGTGGTAAAGTAACCACATAAATACTTCCAAGAAGAATTGACGTATTGAGAGTCTCCAATATTCTCTAGAAGATGAATGAATAAAATTATAAATTCCAAAAACAAGATTAAAATATGCAAATTTCCTCTTTGGGGGAATGACCCTGTCTGTAGATACGCCACTCAGGGGCAGATCCAGAGGTGTCCGAAAGGGGGAGCCGAAAGTGGGGCTAACACCACCCTTGGGGGCCAAAAATTTTTGTTTTCTAGATGCCCGAAAATAACTTCTGAGGTGTTTTGTGCCATTAATTTTTTCTTTTTCTTTCTTTCCTTTTCTATTTCTCATTTTTTTTTACTTTCCAAAAGGGGCTCAGCCCCCTTTAAATCTTTCCCTGGCCACTACCCTGCTAAAAACTAAAATACTGTAAATAATGTAATAATAATCTACTGTACTATATGATTATTACTGTAAATAATGAATACTGAATTTTAATAAATATACCTAAACTACCTTTAATTTCAAGTCATATAGGCCTAGTAATAGTATACTACTAGATTACTCTACCATGCCATGGCATATAATATACTATACAAAACAACTACTGTAATAACTACTGTAGGCAAAAGTTTTGGTTCTCTATAAAATGGCAAATTTATGCACATTAACCCTGTGTACAACAATATCAGCAGTTTCCACGAAACAGCATTCCCACTTTCTACTGTATGTAGTATGTACTGGCTGGCTCCTGGGCCTAGGCCTATGCCGCCTTCTTGCTCTTAGACACTGTGTGTTGGTGTGGTGCAGTAAGAAAAAGAAGGCCTGCTAAATAGGCTAGGCCTAGACTATATGCCCCTTGTAGAATACCTGAGAAAGAATATTGGATTATTTATAGATTATTGGTAGACCTTGGACTATGTACAATACAGTTACCTTTAGATGCCATGATTTTTGGGGATAAAATAAAGCCAAACAACAATTTATATGACACGCATCCAAGAGCTCAAGACGCCGACACAGCTGCAAACTCGTTCGAATCCGATCTTTCTAAAATTTGCCGGTGCGCCCTCTGGCGACCAGGTTCTATCATAACAATTCAATATGGGATCTTCAAAAAGTTTTACATACCGTAAAAGATTTAGTTTTCAAAGTCATAGACAATAGTCAGTCATAGTAGTCCTCCCTAAGTTTGGTAAAATGAAAACTTCAGACGAGGACTACGCTGCCGAATTGCAACAAAAGGTAAGATGCTTAGTGTAGTATGTTAAAATGCTCAGTAACGAGGCTAGGCTTGGCTAGGCTAGGCCTCGCTTTCTACTTGATTCTCGGAGTAAACAAGACCCGGTATAGTTTCGTAAAACCTGCCAGAAATACACAACTAACCCCTGTCTGTTTCACTGCTTAGATCTAGTCAGGCAGTCGATAGACAACATGTACAGGCCCTGGTACGCTGGTAGGCCTAACACATGTTACAAACCTAGCCAACCACTTTCTGATAAATGTGCCTAGTTACATTCATCTCTATTGTAATGGCAATGTTCTTGACTAGGCCAGGAGTACTTTATTGTTGGTTAAATGACAGTACTATCATTTTTATTTTCAGTTTGATGAAGAAGATAGAAGGCAGAAGAAGATGGAGGAACAAGACAAGAAGCTAGCATTGGCCCTTTCATTAGGTCATGAAATATCTGGGTCAGAGGATGAGGATGTTTCCTGTCAAGTCAAAAAGAAATATAATTCTCCAAGAACTCCTAAAACTAGGTCAACTTTGGAGATATCTGACTCAGATTCTGATCTTGAAGAAGCATCTTCAAGTGGAGTAAATGTAAAAAACTCACCAAGAACTAATGACAAGAATGCGTTGAACAAGCGGTCTAGTAGTAGTCCTAATAAATCACTTCTCCAAGGTTCTTATAAAATCCCAAAGAAGAACAAATCGAGTGATGATTCCCAAAGGAAGAGATCTGATAGTAAAGGTATGCATGGTAATTGTAAGAAATCACAGATAGACGAAAGGAATATAACAGATCCACGACCTCACTGCCAGTACGGAAGAAAATGCTATCGAAAAAATCCATTTCATCGCCAGGAATTTTACCACACAGGTGCTAAAAATGTAGCAGTTAAAGCATGATATTGAAGTATACAACTAAAGTCATATTTTAGTAATTTGAAAATCGTTATATCCATGATACTATATAATATGTATTACATTATTATATTGATTTTACTGATTATACTTACTATACTGCACTCATTCCCATTAAATTGGTTGTAGATATGTTCCTATTAAAACATCAACATTGTATAATTTAACGGTGATTATACATCACAATTAATGTGTAACCTCAACATTTTATAATTAGCCTATAATATTGAAAAATCCATTACATTTCTTAAAGTTAATTTAAACTTTAGTAATTTATTTCGGTAATAAATATTTATATATTTCAATTTTTTTTTGCTATTAGATTCCAGCGATGAAGAAACTAACCACACAAGATCAAAGAAAAGAAAGAAAGATGATGTTGAACAAGGAGAATCATCAAAGAAGAGGAAAAAAGAAGTAAATGACAAACACTCAACAGTTCTTGATGTCATAGATGCTGCAACACCATTGTCATTCTTTATGACCAAAGTCACAGGAATTGCTTCAAAATATAACAATACAGCTGTACATATATCAGGTATTGTTGGAATCAATATGTTGATGATGATTGTGATTATGGTGATGATGTTGATGGTGATGCCATAGTGGCCATTCGTAGCATAATTATCCTTCTTGGCATAATTTCGACCCCCGTAACATGTAGCATTCATGCTACACATAATTTCATAAAAAAACGTAGCATAACGTAGCATAATTTAGAATTGATGTAAATTTCATTACATTTAGAAAAATAAATTGCAAAAAAGTCTGGGAGTGCCATTTCTGAACATCTAGAAGTGCCTATTTTAAAAATGTTCTCACCTCACCTACTGTAGAAAGCCGAGGTGTGGCAACGAACGTGTTAAATCCGATTTTAGCCAAATATGCTATTTTAAACGCCATAAGTACTGCATACCCGACTGTCATGTATCTAAGTACCAAAAATGCTTAGTTAAATCCACGGCAGTCATGTATATATCCACTATTTGAGGTGTAGCATCGGTAGCATAATTTTAGTCCAGCCAATGTCATAATTTAATTTTACACAGTAGTCACACTGGGTGAGGCAGATCTTGATGGTGATAGTGATGATGATGAGGGTGATGACATTGACGAAGATGATGGCAATAGTGATAATGGTGGTGATGTTGATTTTGATGGTGATAGTGATGATGATGATAATGATAGTATAGAAAATGTTCTCTTTTGAACAAAAACATTTCAAAGATCCTAGAATTTGTGAAGGCCTTTATGCAAATTCCAATCAAAATGGTAGTAATATTTATTTATAATTTGGAGGATTATATCAAATTCATTGCTGTTTTCATATTTTGTTTTCTTGTCATCATTTTCAGAACTGCTGTCCCCAGCAATGGGTGATCTTGAGGCATCGGTGCAATTTAATTACATGCATGATATTCCATGGCTAATGCAGCAATACCATCCAAAATTCAGGTAAGAATTATGGTACAAGAGGTAGTAATGGTGTATGGATTGATAGTCGTTTGATACAGGCCTGTAATCAGGAGGTTTCTATGGTTTGAACAAACCCCCTTTTCGAGTAAACCCCCTTTGGAGGGCTGGAAAAAATATGCGACCGGCAGTCGAAGGTAGTGACATTTAACACAGAGCCATTTTAGAAAAAAACAAACAATTTTTTTTTCTAGGTCTAAGCCCCTGCTTTTGGTGCATGGAGAGCAACGAGACAGCAAGAATGCCCTTCACGAAGAGGCTTCAAATTACCCAAATATTAGGCTCTGCCAGGCTAGGCTAGAGATCATGTATGGCACACACCATAGGTTTGTTGCTTTTCATTTTACTAAAGTATAAGTATGCATGTCTCATAGAATCACATCAGGTGATGATGCAGTGTTTCCCATGCTTTAATTTGACCAGTTTAATAAAGACCCTGTTAGATTCAACTTGTGGTATAATTGACAGAAAAATAAATTGGGATATTGCAGCATTTGTAGCTATAAATATTACACTCATTTTTTTTATTTGATAGTAAAATGATGATTCTGTTGTACAAAGATGGACTGCGTGTTGTGATACACACAGCAAACCTAATCCATTCAGACTGGCATCAAAAATCGCAAGGGTATGTTGATATATCAGATCTTTTTTCACAAGCCTAACATGAAGTGGTGCTGTAGCTTGATGCGTGCATTCTAAACCCAGGGTCCTGTGTCCAAATCCTGTCAAAAACAGCGATTTTTCACATGATTAGAAGCAAGTATTTTAGGTAAGCCTTATAGTGGACCTTTTCTTAGTCTCAATCAGACTAAAAAAACTTGCGCTTGACCGACCTGTCTTTTTTCTTCCTTGATACATGGCCAAACCATCCCATCTGCTGCAGTGGCATATCTAGTAGTCTTGAAATAGGGTGGGGGCTGATGGGTGGGTCTAGAAGTTGGAGAAGGGGCTCAATAATTAAGTGAGGGGGAATTAGGTAACAAAATATGGTGATTTTTAACTACTTGAGCATGATAGTTTTGACTTCTGATATTTTAAATGGGAGGTGGACGCAACTGGGGAGAGCTTGGGGGAGGGGGGTGTGTCCCCCTCATTACACCACTAGATAAACCACTGATCTGCTGTTGACATAAATCCAGCCATGATCCTTGTGGGTACATTGACCTAATCCAGAAATTTTGTGCTGAGCTATAAGATATGGATCTACGATAATAAAGTTAATTTTTTTTTTTTGCATTTTCTGTTCAGAGTTTGGATCAGCCCACTTTTTCCAAAGCTAAGTCACAAATCACCTACTCCACAAATGGGAAACTCTGCAACAAATTTTAAAGTTGACTTACTAGAATACATTGCAGCCTATAAGACCAAGGGCCTATCAGAATGGCAGGGACATCTATTACAGCATGACATGACAGAAGCAAGGTTTGTGTACCAATCTAATCAATTTTCAAGATTTTCTTGGATGTAATTTAATTTACATTAATTATTATTTACTTTAATTAAAATTAATTATGACCTTTTTTTTACTGTAGAGTTCATATTATTGCATCTGTGCCAGGTCGGCATCAAGGAGAGAGCAAAATGAAGTGGGGACATATGAAAATGAGAAAGGTAAAGTCTGTTCCAAAATATATACATACCTACATTACGCACATGCACACATGCATACCCATACACATACTCCACAAACATACCCCACACATACCCTTACAGTGGCATGCACATAGACACTCTTATGTGCACACATGCATTTAAAATAAAATGGTATTGTCTAGTTGCATGTTAATATCCTTCTCTTCTAGATATTGAAAGATCATGCAGATGGTCAAGCTAAGAACTGGTCTGTAATTGGTCAGTTTTCCAGTGTAGGCTCATTGGGTCCAGATAAAAATAAATGGTTATGTGCCGAATGGCTAGGAAGCTTAAGTACAACTCCAAGTGGAAGGACTTCAAATCCATCTCTTCTTAAGCTGGTGAGTTAAGATTTTGTGATTGTAGATTATAAAACATGTGATGTAATTGCAAACAAAACTGCAGGCTTACAATCTCAAGATTAAGTGTTCAAATCCAAATGATATGCACATTATTGTGATTAGCAGAAGGTTTTTGGCTTATAATCCAGGGTTACTTTATTCGGGTTTGTCTTTGGTATGAACATGATGTAAAGGTGCTTAGTGCAGTCTTACAAATGTTGAAAAAGTTACAGTGGGATGGGGTGGTGGGGTGGGCAAGACCTCATGACCTTCTGCATCCACAACCATATTGGCCAGATTAATGTTGTGTATATGTTCTTGTAGTGAAGGATTTCTCAAATATATGCAAGATGTTTTTTTTCTTTTTTTACAGATATTTCCGTCAGTTGACAATGTCCGTTTAAGCCTAGAGGGTTACCCTGCTGGGGCCTCTCTACCTTACAGTGCAAGAACTGCTGTTAAACAGCAGTATTTTAATGAGTTTTTACAGTGAGTTTACTTAGAGTATTAAATTTTATGTAGATTTTAATTGACTTAATTACAACATCAAATTAAACTCACATTATTTTATTCTAAAAAGTATGTATCATTATGTATTTTATTGTTTTCACAGTCAGTGGTGTGCCACCAAGAGAGGGCGCTCCAGGGCAAGTCCACATATCAAGACATATGCCAGGGTCTCTCCAGACCATACTAAAATTTCTTGGTTTGTAGTCACTAGGTAAATAGAAAATTCACTTATTGAACGAACATGTTAAATTCTATGCTTACAAATATTTGTCAGTCGGTGTGAGTAAATTATTTTTAGATTTTTAACAGCTCTAATTTAGTTAATTGTGAAAATGATGAATTCTTACATACTTTGTTAATTCTATATATAAATATTGTATGTTTTCATTGTATAGTGCTAATTTATCGAAAGCAGCGTGGGGAGCTCTGGAAAAGAAAGAAGCTCAGTTAATGATTCGATCTTATGAAATTGGTGTACTCTTTTTACCAAAACATTATGTAAGTTTTTTGTATTTTGAGACTTTTTATCTCTCTGTAGGCAAGATGCTTTATAATGAGAAATAATTTTATATTTACCTAGTGCTTGTACACTACACAGAATGGTGTTTTTATTTCCTTTTTCATTGTACACTTTACCCTTCAACACTTTGTGACCTGAAAATTTGGGGGTTAGCCTTGTGTTAAAAAATTTACAATTGTTAGTTGATTCCTTGAAACAGTAGTCTCAAATTAGAGAGGTCTCGGATTTTGAGGGGTCTCGAATTGGAGGGTATAACTTGCACAGTAGTATGCAACTATCTCAAACCTTTCATCTTGCAGCTGGTTAATACTGTTGGTAACTACTCAGGTGCATACATACAAGATGGTGTGAAGGTATATGCCAATCCAAAATGCTTGACCTCCCTCCCCAAACAACTTACAGGCTTCCCCTTGGAATAAGCTAAGCAAAAAAAAATTACGCTCTACCTGTTTTACAAATATATACAATTTAACATGTTTGTACACGTGTACTACTATGCTAATTTATGTGAATATACATATTTATATTTTAGAATCCAAGTGGTGATGGGTATTTTACAGTTGAAGATTCTGAAAGTGGAGCTAAAAGGCTAAGCTTTCCTCTGCCTTGGGATTTACCTCTGATGCCATATCAAGCAAAAGGTAATTTATTCATTTTGTTTATGTCATTTTATTTCATTATTAAAAAAAATATAAAAATATTAATGAGAACAATAAAGTTGTATACTTTTGTGTGGACCCTATAAAGCACTGTCCAGGTTATCAAACTTTATTTAAAAAAAAAAACACTTTTGTATGCCCATATATAGTCATGATGTGTCTATATAAGGCCATGATGTGATGAGATCATTACCATATTTAGGCATTTCACATGTTTTTCTTAAGTAAAATGTGATAGACTGGGTGTGGCTTAAGGCTTATAAGTAAAATGTAAACAGAACAACAATAAAATAATAATTATAATCACCACCTGAAAGCTTTATATAAATATGTTTTTGTTATTTGGAGATTAAAAAAATGTAATAAAGCGTTTATATATTTACAGATTCGCCATGGGTATGGGATGTTCCACATACTGAGAAGCCGGATTCTAATGGAAATGCATGGGTGCCATCCTAATTACCTATTCCGGAAAAATTGTTTGCCAAGTTCGTTCAGATCCAATATTACGATCACATTTTACTTAATTTGAATAAGCCTAAAACCAACAGGCTTGAGTGCACTATGGTGTTAAAGTGTTGTGTTCAAGGTTGTATTAGTTGGGTGTATCTAGGCCTACTGTAAGCTAGCCTTCTGTATGAGACTGAATTTAGGGGATGAAGGCCATGCTTTTATGGGAGTGAACATCTTCATCGGCTTCATTTGACTTTTACTGTACATTCCATCTACTGTATATTTTAATAACAATAATAATTTTGTCTTATATAGCACATTATGCTAAAGCCTGAATGTGCTTAACAATAATAATGAAAATTCCAGGGGAAAAAATTTAAGGAAAGTACTGTACACGTTAAAAAGGTGAGTTTTTAAAGCTGCCTTAAAATCAACAATGGAAGTTGCCCGTCGGATTGTAATAGGCAAAGCATTCCAAAGACAGACAGAAGACATGAATTCTCATAGTAGGTCACAGAAATGATATACTTTATTCTATATTCAGTAAAATAAAGTAGCATAAAGATGTATTATTCATCACCAACTACTGTACTTATTTCATTTGTATTTCATTATAGTTAGTGTATTATTATTATTATTATTATTATTATTATTATTATTATAATTGATCGGTTTAGGCCGAAGTACAATGATATGCGAAGCAGCGAAACTTCATCACTATTTTAAGTGGCATATATCCCTTCACAAGACAAAGATACAAAATGCTCTACATAAACTAAGTCTCATTATGAGGATTTGGGATTGAAGCTAGCTAGCTCGCTAGCTGATGAAGCTAGCGAAAATGTGTATCTCAATAAATTCTGTTAGTCTATAGAAGGTACTACTGTACTTATTTCATTTGTATTTCATTATAGTTAGTGTATTATTATTATTATCATATCCCTTCACTAGACAAAGATACAAAATGCTCTACATAAACTAAGTCTCATTATGAGGATTTGGGATTTGTGTTTGGAATTGGAAGGCAAGCACCTTAGCCACCAAGTTATTTAACACCAATTATTAATTTTTTTTTAAATACAATATTCATTAATTTTGTCATTCTGAGTTTTAATTGGAATCTAATTACTTGAATTTCTTGAATATACAAAGTAAAGCACAATTTTATCTGACGTTTTGTTTAGCATAGGCAGTTAGTCTGTTGTAAAGGTGAGCAATACTGTATGGAATGGGGATTACAATACAATACCATAGCATACAATATTACAATACAGTATACAATAGAATACAAATACAAAGACATTTCGGGGAAAAAATAAAATTACGTTTCCTAGAGACACCTGGAAAATGATCCAAAAACAATGCAACCTACTCGCTGTAAAGTAGCCTAGCTACTGGTTATTCAACATAGTATTTTGGTTGATTGACAACCGTTTTGATTGGGACTGTCGTGCTGTTAGAGATGTTCAGTTCAGATGAATATAATAGGAAGGATCAAAGACCAAACATATACAATTGACCCTTGTAATAAAAACTGGCCCAGGAATTCCATCTTTTATTTCGGAATTATGTATTTGTATAACGTGTGTTGAAAGTTATAGAAAAATATATAATTGAAACATCCGGAAATGCACAAACACATTTGAGTGGGTACAGAAAGTTTCGATATAAACAATTTCATATGATGCTATGAAGTAGGCCTGAAGATCTACATAAGCCCGCCATTCCATCATGTTGAGATTACTGTATATATTCAATGCTATTTTTAGTTAGCAGTAATGATTTTAAATATAGGCCTACTATAGTATCTGTGTTGACCTTAAACCTACAAGGAAATTCAAATTGTATTGCTTAATCCACATGCTAAAGTTATTTAGTTTTTAATCGAAAACACTGATAACATGTTTATTTGCTGGTAAAGTATTTTCGTAGTACAATAAAAACAGCCACTGTTTTAATGATCAAACTTAAATGACCAATCAAAACATCGCTAACATTACGCGCTTGTCCCACAAACGTACGTGTTTACGTACGTTTACGTTGTATTTTTGTGGACCTTAGAAAATATCCAGAGGGCGGGGCTTAGCGGAAAGGTTTATAGTATTTTGAAGAGTTTCCAATTTTTACCGCAGACAGTAGTCCTATATCTTTAACATCTTCTAAGTGTATTCGCGAAGGATTAAATGTGTAATAGTCGAATCAACAGAGCTTCTAGTGGATAAACGTTAGTTGGTTGTCCAAGTTTCGATACCTCGATTTCGGATACTGTATCTCTTATTTAGAATAATTTTGATAATAAGATATACTCTTCTAACTTGCAACCAACAAATCAATATCAATCAATCATCAATCAATCATCAATTAACCAATCATTAATTAATCATTTATCAATGATATTATTAATAATAATACTAATAATGGCGATATCAAAGTGCAAACATCACCACCAAAATTGGTGCTCAAGGCTCAATATCGATCGTAAATCATCAATTATCAATCAATAATCAATCATAAATCATCAATTAATCAATCATCAATTTCAATCAATCAATTATTAATCAATCCATCAACCAATTAATCCGATCAATCGATAATTAGTGTACACACCAACAAGAATTAGGTTGCACCCAAAGAATATTATGTTGTAAGCAAACCTACTAGAACCGACTGACTAGAATTATTCCAATTATTGTACACATGCCTATTTCATGAATGATTACTGTATGGTGGCATTATACTATGAACCTTCTCGAACTTACTTTTCAACGTACAGTAGTACAATGGCCGTATGTTGCTATTGCATTACACAATCATTCAAGTTCTATTCAATAGGAAAAATGGCAGTGTACGTGTAAAATCTCAAGGCGACCGTACAGTACACGATAAATTACTTGGTGACGTATGGAGGCAAAAAGTATTCGGGTAAAAAGGTGAAACAATATGACTACTGCACATAGTAATGCTATGTAATAAATCACAAAGATTTTAGAATTATGCCTGTCATTAAACATAATGATACCTTGAATGTCGAATAATACGAAGACCTACAAACCATTCAACCAATCAGCTACTGCCTAATTTCCCACTAATTATTGAGAAAAACGTTGTCTTCTCGGGATTCGAACTACCGGTACTCATAACACTGCGCGTCTTAAACTGCAATGGTGGCCTTTCCTATCATTCGACCCTATTTCTACCCCTGCTGTTTCTCTCACTCTTTTGGAATGTTTAGCTTTACCAATCAGAGCCCCAGACCCTACGATCGTTCTCCTTTGGATTTGTAGGATAGCCCTACATCTGTTTAAATTGGCAAAAAGAACACGTCAATCAAACAATTAATAATAATAATAATAATAATAATAATAATAATAATAATAATAATAATAATAATAATAATAATAATAATAATAATAATAGGCCCTATTGATAATGATAATAATAATAATAGTAGTAATTCGTAATAATAATAATCATAATAATGATGATAGTATCCAACGACGGGATTTGAATCCAAACCATAGAAAGGCAAGAAATGGAATAACAAAGATGAAAGTTTCTTAGCCAAGCCAGCACACAAACCGGAGTATGGGGATACGCCTGTCGTTAACCAGGGATTGATCTAAATCACAGGTGGCCAAAGTGCGGCCCGCGGGCCGCATACGGTCCGACAGCAATGTTTTTGCGCCCCGCGAAGATGAATTAAAAATGTGTGCGGCCCGCCAAGCAACATTGACGAGAATACACCTTGTTTTTCAAGGCCCGACACCGATCATTTGTAAAAAATAACATTAAAACTAAAAATAAAGTGGTGTAAAAGCAGAGCTTGAAGGTTTTTGGAAGCTCACTGGAAGTTTGGGTGCGGCCCTCGGTAAATCAAAAATTCACTTTGGCCCTCCGACCGATTTTTATGCCCACCCCTGATTTAAATAAAACCTGGCACGTCAGCACCTGTTCAGTCTCGGCTATTTCGAACTCAGATTGATCACATAGGCCTATCTTATATATTGCTATGTAGGCCTATTAGCGGGCAGTACGGATTAAAGGAGTGGACTACTTGCGATTAAAGGCCTATAGAGACCTCCCTTCTATCGTACGCAAGAAGCAAGTCACCTTTGGATGAGAATAAAATGGCAATAAAAATTGCCATTTCTTTGTAATTTATGAATATCTGGTAGAAATGTATGAATTAATATTGTACTTTACGTATGTCTACGTCATGATTATGATCTGGTATTTATTTAAGCTAAACCTAGACATAGACCTACGCCAAACCAATGTAAAAATCATCACGAATCATTTTAATTACTCATTGTGTAAGATAACATCTTAATTATTAAACACACTTTCATTTTCCGACGATAAATCGTTTCCCGTCTTACAAAAGCTCAATAATAAGAGCTACTGTACTGTTTGATTTCTTATACGTATGTCTTACGTATGACGACGTCACTATGTAATGTTATGACGTCACCCATCTATGAGCTAATGCGAGCTCGTTACACAGCTTACTGTGCATCAGGTAATACATTCAGATATTTCTCAAGCTGGATCCATCACGTCTCTTAGTTGCGCGTATAATAATGTTGTTATAGGACATCATACGCAAAACTTATGATTGTAGACCTATGTTGGACACACAATATCAAAATGTTACACCCCTCTCTGCTCTGCTCATACTTACAAACAAATCGATTTAATTGCAAAGTTCGGTGGGACGTTATTATGTTCAGTACGGAGGTATATTAGTGTTAAAGTATCAACATAATTTCACCTTGAATTTTGTTGAATTGTAGGCCTATATATTATTATAATAATTAATTGGTAACATATTTATAATCTTTATAAAAATGAAGCCCATCTCGAAAAGAAGCCTCCTCGAAAAAGTAGAACATGGATGTCAGTATCAATATTATTTTATTGTAATAAAATAAACATAACTCACACATAATCTGGGTTTGGCCAACATTATTTCGTGCATGCATTCAATCTGTGAAGCCTGTTGAATCGAGAAAGTGTATCTTTCAGGGCTTGGTTGAAGCTAACTCCGGCTATAATTCATTAGAAGATTGAAAAATGTCATTAGGCCGCTCTATAATTAATATAAGTTACAAATGTACACATGTTTAATAAAACATAGGCCTATCATTTGTTATTTTATGGTAATAAATTATTACAAAATGTGAATGTAGTCGAACCTGTAAAGGTCTGGAGTGTGTTACTCCAGACCTGCCCATCCCCTGTAAGCGTTGATGAGGCCAAACTGTCCAATGCTTTGATAACGAGTCTGACCTTCCCAGCATATATCGGAGGCCTACCCATTTTTACTCCTGGATAGATAGAGAGAGGGAGACAAATGCAGATAAATTGTCTTGCCCAAGGACAAGCGACATGCACATCGAAAGTTTCGAACCCCACAAAGAAGTTGAGAGTCCGAGGCTCAAGCTGCACCAAACACCCTTCCATTATATCGAAAGCGTGATTTTTATTATTAATAAGATTGTCGTTATGATGTTTTTATTTTGTGAGTTTAAAAAAAAAAATTGACAAAATTTCAAATTCAATGTCTTTAGTAGACGGTACTCATACGGATTTATAGTAGCAATTTCAAATATTAACAGCATCTATTTTGAAAAGAAGCCATCTAGTTTGTAAAATTATTCTCAAGAAGCCCATAAAGGTTCCTAAAAAAAGAAGCGCATGGCTTATATTCAGGGTTGTAGGTCTACTGTATACTCTTCTGTAGCATGTGTTTTACCTGCGTTTTGTGCTACGAATGAACACTTAATAGTAACATACAGTAGGCCTATTAGAAATAAGCCAGCTTAGTGGATGCATATAACGTGCATTATAACAATAATTAATATCAATATTTTTATCAGTACAGTATTCTGTTTTAATATTATCATTGGATTCTCAAACGAGGTTCAATCTATGTAGCCTACGCCCCGCTGAATATCATTATAAGCGTTGGCGTATTAACAAATTATTAACAGCTTTTAGATCAAATAGGCCTGTCTCGAATAATTTTTCTTAAAATTCATGGGGTGGGGGAAAACGAATTCTGCGTGATCGCTGTTTCCAAGTTACGTACGGTACTGTACACACGCCAGCTCAAATAATGAATCGGTATGTTTACATTATTATGTGAAACACGTAAGAAAACTAATGTTAGTGTATTGAATCTAACATCAGACACTTGTTGAGAACATATAGCATCTGCCGCCTTATTTCGCTTTACATCGAATCAAATCTAATTCTTTGTTGTCGGAACAAAATGCATAAGATAAGCATTTTGAGCTAACGAAGGGAAAAAAGGCTTTGTTAGCAGGTCTGAGTAGAAGGTTGATATAAACGCTAGTAAAGCTAATGTCTTTGTTCTCAAAATATTTGAATCAAAGCCAAAATTAAAAAATACATGGCACGAGAAAAAATGGAAACTTTTTTGTATATGTTATAGCGCCCTCTGTGACAATTTGCATTGACGTTTGCTGACGTTCGATAATTTTTTTTTTGTATAGAATTGAACTACTGTATCTTATTGCTTGTTGCTCATGCATTTTATTTCCTTATTTAGAGTTACGTGAGTACTTTTTGAAGAAGGATCAGAAAATTTTCTAACGAACATCATCTTAAATTCATCGATACGCCTTACACAGTACTAGCCGATTAATCTTCCTTTTAGTAGGGCCTTACTATTATTAACCAAATTTGCAGAAATATACCAAAACATTTATTGAATACATCTACCAAGAAAAATAATAATAAGATATTTATATGCGCGCGTTAAATGGTGAAAAACAATGTGGGCCTACTGTATGTGCTGCGTTGTGTAGGCCTAGCATGATTAATGCAATGGCGCTTCCCTTCCGCAGCCCCAAGTTATATTATTGTTTTAAAAAAAATTTCGCACAATTAAAACAGTATAACTGTGGGAGAAATAACTTAATTTGATATAGTACTGAACAAGTTCCTCATTATAAACAAGAAATACATAAACACATAATAATATAAAACATATAAACAATAGGATGATATAGCAATGTTTAATAAATAGTTATTTTTAATTCTTTCATGGTTTATATTGTGAACATTTAAAATTCGGTTTTGATTCAGTTGTAGCCCATTGGCCCACCGCAAGAGGGTCACAAATCGATCAAGGACTGGTACCAACGATGAGGTACCGGTATATAGCACCTTTTGCTGGTACGTTACCGATTAGGTAAGATAAGAAAATTGGTTGATTACGTAATTCTACTTCTCGGATCACATCTGCTGACGACCCTGGTTATATGTCCTCCGGAAACACAGAGGGGCAGTGGCAAAGATGGCAGTGACCGCGATAGGGCGGTGTAGCTGTAGGTCCAGGTGCGAAGAAAATGTAGATAAAACAAGAACCAAATCATCAAAATGTGCAAGTCCAGACCTATGCGCACACGAAGATTAAAATCTGATATAAATTAACACAAGGCTTAAAGGCCTATCTTTGCAAATATTAAATATATACCACCACCCACAAGAATAAAGGTTACATTAAAAAAATAGGCCTAGGCCCTATATAAATTTGAATTGCTCAATAAAAAAACGCAGCCTACAAAGTTTAGAGATTTACAACGTTTTCCTACAAAAATTCTAAAATTTGACATAAATTTGAGTAGCAAAATGAGAATGACATTATTTAAACATTAATTGGTGATGAGATGTAGACCTACACTTTATAATTTCAGTAATTGTTAATTGAAAGCTAGTGAAATATGCGGGCTTTTCCTAATTTTCAAGTTTATATAGTATTTCGGTTAGGACAGTTTAACTTTAAAGATTATTGAACAACATTAACAATATTAATTATCGTCAGCATGAACATGATCTACTAATTGTCAAAGCGTCATCCTCACCGTCGTCATCATCATCATCATCATCATCATCGTCATCATCATCACTGTACTCATAATATCGTCGTCCTTATCACCATCGTCATTAGCAATGGTATATTTCAATGGACATAGAAGTACTGTACGAACTGTACTTACAGTAATACATTATTCTCTAATAATTTTACGGTACTCGAGTTTAATTCTCTTTATAACAACCCTTGACCTTATTGTTACTGGCCCTATGTCGTTCACGTGCACATGTTCCATATAAGGCACCGGTAGCCTTGATTTCGCGTCACGACTTACACAAAGCTCTTTGATTGGCTGAGCATCGGTTGAGTAACTAAACCAAAAACCTATTGAAGCATGCAGTTAGCCAGCTTTCAAATGTTTCATTTTGGGGCTTTTGATATTATTTTACGTTGATAACTGGTATAATAATTCAGTTAAGATATCAATTCATACTTTTCTGTAAAAAATTACATCTTCAGTTTGTCAGCGCTGTCAGAGTATTTAAGACTTACGAGTGAGCTTTGTTATTATGTTTGCCTGGCGTTGCTTGTAGAAACATCCAATCAGGTCGTTTCATTGTGTAGAGAGAATTGACAATTGGTAGGAGCTGAAAAGGCCGACGCGACTACGTTGGCGTATGAGGGGTATTTTCCCGAACAATTTCAGCTGATGAAAACATCGGCAAGAATAAACCGTAATTCCCATCATCGATTGTAGCGAGATGTAAATCTATGTTGTATTCATCAAAGAAGAGTTATGCTTCCACCGTTGTCTTGCCAAGCTATGAGCATTGAAGTACATGTTCCTCCTACCCGTGTTTCGTTCAGTTGTGGGCAAAGGTAAGAAAGAAGGACCAGGGCTAGAGTAGATTGAATGAATGGGCAGACTGGCGATCCACCAGTTGAGGCATAGGCTTAATAAGTAAATGCTTCGAAAATGTCGCCATAAGTTCCGGTTGTTTTCTTAAGTTTTCACTTAATGATAACGCCTTTATTTTATATATTGTTTACACAATAGGCCTATGTGGAACATTTTATAAAGAAACTTTTCTTTTGATTTGATAAAGTGACAACACAAACAAAAACGTTCAAATTCAAGTTGTAGGCCAACACACATTGAGAGCGTTGCGTAGTAGTAGTAATAGGCTTGAAAAATAAGTGGTACTTAAAAAGTGGTCTACAATCCAGGTGAAATCTCATGATAGCTGATGCTATTGAAGTTAACTTTATAGTTTTTTCTTAAATCAGCTTGTTTTCCACAATGCCAACATTCATAGAAAACAGGCAGTGTACTGTAACTTAACGTATTTATCTGTTATTATTTATTTCAACCAGTGTTAATTACCATTATTTACAAACTGACTAATTTTACAACTTTACAACAGCATATTAATAAATTAAAAAATCCCTAGCTGAGGAGACATGTAGTTTACAATTGTCAGCCCTTCATTATATCAATATTTATTGTTCTACAATCTACCTTTTGAAATTAGTTGTAAAATTGTAAATTACTATGTGCTACATTGCAAGGTAAAATGCAAATTCTAGAGCCTTGAATTTAAGTCAGCAAAGAAGTCCCTTGGTTGATATATTAAGATACCACACTGTTCAGCATTTCTGCGGTATTGTGCAATTTATTCATGATGAAATTATTTAAGTGAGCTGCAATTGGCCATAGTATTCATTTCAATTTGTTTTCTTAAGTTAATAAGGTAAGAAGTTTATTAGTTTTCTGAGCAGCTTTGTAGTAGAAAAATTAAGATCATCCTTATATTTCTTCATTTTTTAGGCATACTGTAGAGCACTTTCAGCACTGTCCAGTGATTGATTTCAGAAATTCAGTATAATAAATATAGGTAGAGGAAATTACATAGAGCTCGGCTCACGACTTGAATCCAAGCCAAAACAGTGCATTGTTCAATCCCATTGTTCATAAAACGAACTGAAATGTATACATTGAGTTTGGTTGTCCTATTCTTTAGGTAGTTTATAAGGTCATGCATTGCATTCAAGTTTGCCAGCCTAGACTAATAAAAAAACACGACCTTCACATTATATTAAGTTGAAGTACTTTTTAAACTCTCTGGTACAGTGCCATTTCTTGTGCCACTAAAAAATAGAGTGGTCAATAATAGTACTTCCTGGGTCAAGGTAGCTATTGGTTGATTATTAATTGACCTTTTGGCATTATTTCATTGTCATAAAATACTAGTATACTGTGAGAATATTTAAAATAAATATATCTAGGTTAGGTACAGTAACTAGTACTTAATGTAAAGTGCTTATAAGTCCCTATTTAGATTGTGATTTATTGCTTATGTATCCTGGTAGGAACCTCTTTGCAGTAGGAATCATAGAGTACAGTACTGTACTATACCGTTATTACTATTAATATTTTTGTTTGCTGTAGTGTATGGGCAAATTTCTCAAAGTATAGGTAGCTGTAATAGTATACCTTAATACAATTTATCTTGTTATGTAGTGGGTTTAGTCCTGAATAATAGTATTTTAATTTAATTATAATAAATCATTTTTAATTCTAAAAAGATATACTGTATTATTAATTAAAAACTGATATTAATTTGTCTAATACAACATTACAACATCAATATTTAAAAAAAAAATTTGCTTTTGGATTTCCCTCATAATTGAAAGAATATTATTGATCAGTAACGACCTTGGTGCAGCATATCTTTACTGTGTATAGATATTGCAAGTTCCAAGTGTTTATAGATATTGCAAGTGGTTGAGGTAACCAAGGCTAAATGTAAAGGTGTATTTTCATCCTAATCAATGGTATATGGCCTTCATGTGTACAATACTGAATGTACCTGTCAAGGCCTTTAGTAAGTACAATTATGCATTTTTTGGAAGCCTATTGTAATTGTTGCAAAATAATATTTGCATTAGAAAGGATATGTTTTTAAAAATTTTCCAGAAATTTCTTGATATTTACTGTGGTTTAACTTCAGAGGGTAAAGTGACATTTTGGCCAAATATATAGAACATGCTCATAATCTAATTTTAACACTGTTGGTTTTTTGTGCCAGTGCCTTATTTTTAAAATTTAAAAACTATAGAGCTTGGTCCACAATCTTTCTGTTTAATTACATTTAAAAAAATTGATATTACTAGCAATGATAGTACTAGCAATGATACAGTAATACTGTAGCAGGCCTACTACAGTAATTATGTTAGAGAAGTGATGATTTTTTTGAGAATCATTATTGTGTAGGACATATAAAAAATGGCAATTCCATAATCAATATCTATTTTGAAAAGGGTTGAATTTTTCAGAATCTGGATTTGTCACTAATGTACAGAGATGTACTACGTTTTCCTGTTAAGTTTTTCTCCAGAGGGAGTACTTCTTCTTTGAATTGACTACTAAAAACAACATAACGACCTGGTTTTTGTCCATCAATTACCTACAAAGGAATTTCGTTTTTATGCCAAATAATTTAGGCCAATTTAAAGAAAAAGTAAAATTGTTTTTTACCTGGCATTGAATATTACTTTAAATTTTCCTGATATTTCTATTATTTAAATAAAATGGATGAATTAATTATGTATTTTTTTTTGCCTTTTGTGGAAATTAAATATATTATTACTGTATTATTATAAAAGATTGCCTACAGCAGTAAGTATGATATAAAACTTTTATTAAAATCAAATGTTAGTTATAAAGGTTAAGTATTGTTGTATTTAATTCTCAGTACTTCAATAAAATTATCAAATAATATTTGTTTTCAAATGAAAATATCCATAATCTTCCTCTGTTATGAATTTGTCATTGTTTATATTGAAGTTTTTTGTTGTTTCAGCCCTGACTTGCATTATATTTAAATGCCTGACCCTTCCAAAGGTCAGCAACAATTGTTAACGGTTGGAATACTGGAGTTCAAAGTTTAGTATGTTTGTATTTTTTATGGCTTCCACGAATGAATGTAATTACCTGTACATGTATGTACCTGTACATACCCTTATCATTCTGTTAATGTGTTAATGATCTGGGAATTTAAATTTATCATACTGCATATCAGTAGGAGTGGACTACCTTTGGTAAATGTTCTGCTCAGTAGCAGAGAGCCTACTCATCATTGTCCCACTCCACTCCAATCCAAACTCAAATATTGATTAGATTTGCTTCAATAAATTTATGTCAGATTGTTGGTTATTATTTTACCTTTTAGAAAACTGGGCTCTGACAACATTCTATGCCTACCATTCAACTCACTCACAACTTCACATCAGCAGATATTTTCTTATGTGTTACCACATTACTGGAACAAATTAGCACTCAATATTCGTCTTTCAGACTCTGTTACAATATTTAAGAAAATGTTAAAAACTTTATTGTTTCCTTGTGATTAGGAATTGACTAGGAGGACTAAGTAGATGCCAACATCATTCAAGCACCTGTGAATACTGTCCTAGCGAGCCCCACTTTAAATTGCTGGGGAACGATGTTGTGGTGTTTGGTTTCATCTGCGTTTTATTTTTTTTTCTCACTTTCTGGTTTTCTTCTGTTAGATGTATTTCATTGCCAAAGTATATTAGTAGAAAAAAAGACAAAAAAGCGCTCTATCTTCATAAATTAATGCTATGTAAATGATGTAATGTATGTATATGTAAGTCACAATGACAATGCAATATCACATGTCCCTTGATACTATAATTAGCCAACTGGAATATTTCCTAACTTGTTTGGGTACTGGTACTATACAGTAGACCTAAGTGTGTAACATCTAAGAAGAAGCAAAGCTGATTTTATCTCCTTTTATCTAATTAGCCTGTTTCAAATTATCACCAGCCCCTTGTCTGGAACAGTGCCCTCCTCCCCAAAAACTGGTTAATCGTCTGTAGTCTATACCACATCCCCTCCCATACCGGGTACACCCACACACATAACAATAGAAATACAGTTTTATGACTCACATTTGGGATTTTTAAAAAATTGCGCAATTGTAACAAGTGATGCAAAACAAGCAAACAACAAGTTGTTATGCTTTCAGGCCAAACAAAAACTTACTTGTCTAGTCCTTCTGGCTTCATTTTTTGGGGTTTCCCAAGTATGACATGTTCAACACGCAGAAAGAATCCTGAAAGAAATTCAAACATCCACATGGCCAAACCAATGACCATCCATGGATGTGTTTTGTGGCATCATGGTACAGTAATTGCTGATGTGTGCATTGTGTGTCCATCTGTTTTTATTTTTTCCTAAATAATTTTGTAAACATACTGTACTTATAGTGCTTGACCTCTTCTTAATACCAGAATACAGTATACCTTCTGACCTATTAAAATATTGAATATGTTATTTAGGTATTAGTATCAAGATACTTTACATAACCTTGGACCTATTTTAATTGTAATATTGCCCAAATCAATGTAGTTTTTTAATATTAAGACTGAAAACAATGTTTCTAAAGCTTGGAGGTTATCGACAATTCCCCCTGTTTCCTGGTCTTAGGTTTAAATTCCAATAGAAAAGATTTTTATCTCATGACTAAAAACTACTGCAAGCATCTATATAAGACCTCTTAACATTTACCTGTACAGTATTCAACAATTTTGGCTGATGTGAAGGAAGGAAGGAAGTAAAATGTTTGGTTGAATTTGGAAGTGGCTTTCAAGCGGAAAGAATCAAATCAAAAGGAAACGTACAAATACAAAAAAATTGTTTAAATATACA